ATACAATGTTTGAATTATTTGTGTAAGACCTCGTAAGTTGAGGAGCAAAAGGAGGAATTTGCCCGAGGAGGGCTCGAGTATGATTAGCTACTTGGTGAGGTTATAGATTACGAAGGCGATGATCAGTAGCTTGTCCAAGAGGATGATCAGAATAAATAAAAAATAATGCATTATGAGCAATACAAGCATTATAACAATCTCAACCAAACTATCACGCAAAACAAAACAACCCTTTAAATGTATGTCAAAACAAACACATTTTTGCCGATCTTTCTCAAATTTTACTAAAAACTAGGGGTTGCAAGTTTAACCACACACTTGAGGAGGACGATGAGCAATATCGGTTGGGTAGGTAGGGGGAATCAGAAACCTACACGTAGTTTTCTACCAGCCACTCTGTTTGATATTATCGTTTGCTTGTGGGATTTGGGTGATGGATTTGGTACCCAAATCCCAAGCATAATGGAATTGGCACAAGTCCATTGTTTGCTAAGGGACACAAATCTGTGGGGCCCACGGATTTGGGCCCATTTTTTAGATCCAAATCCGTGGACCCCACGGATTTGCTAATCCCACGTTTCATTTGGGATTTGATAATGGAAGGCAAAATGTGAACAAATCCATCATGAATCTATGACAAAAATAAACTACACAAACAATGTACTCTTCCAAATCCATAATGCAACAAATCCATCATAAATCCAAAGGTTTTGAAAACTCAAAACCCTCTTTTTCAAATCCAACAAGCAAACGAGCCCTAAGTTTATTTTCTATTCAAATGATAAATAATGATATGAGGTGGCGGTTTTAATGATTTGGCGAGTCGGATATAAAATTTTTTGGGTTAAAATAAGATGATCGGGGCATTTCTGTTAGCCACGTATGCAAAATTTGACGTTGTTAAGGGAGACTAACTGAAAGTAACAGAGAGTGACTAAATTTGAAATATTTACCTTGAGCACGAATAAAATAAAATATTTTTAATCACAAAATGTGATTTTTTTAGTAATCTCAAATTCCCAATGACCAAACTTTTAATGTATCTATACTGACCAAAAAACTTTTAATTTATCTATTATTTACCGTCATCATAGTGGAGAAGGCAAGTTTAGGCTTTCATTGCCCATGTGAATTTTTTTTTGTAATCTCAAATTTCCCATATCAAATACTAAAATCCCGAATACTGAATTACATCCTGAAATCAATCCAAATCTCAATTTTTAAATAATTTTGGTATCTCAATCCCAATCTCTAAATATTTCGGTATCCCCATCGGTACCTTGGTATCCCAATTGGTATTATAAAATACAAAATTAATTACCTTTGCAATTAATAATTAAATATATAAATTAGATTTTATTATTTAATTTAGGGCAAAGAGACTAATCAAAGAGCCTTGAGTTGCCTAGAGCTAACATCTCAAGTTTTTGTAATTGGTAATCTTTAATTTGATGAATTTGAGGTTGAGAGACCAGACGACTAATACTAGTGTGAAATAGTAATGTAATGATCTATGTACAATTAAATGACACTCTTGGTGGTTGAGGGTCGCGTAGTAGTGAATGAGAGAGTCTAGTTGAGAGGATAAAATACACACTAGCTTATATTTCGATATTGATCGGTATTTCGGTACATACCGATCCCAATCCCGTAATCCCTAATATCGATTAACAATTGAAACTCAATCTCAATCCCAATCCCACGAAATAATACGTGTATTCGGTAATAACAAATATAGACAAATTCGGTATGGTATTCGATATATCCCAAATACCGGTACCAAACTTCTAGTCCTAGCTCTTGTAGTGTTCGTTTCAATTGTTCTTATTTGCTTTGACTATCTTTTCACGAAGAAGCCGTTATATTGTGGTTAACTAGTTAATCTCCAAGGGTTTGTATGAGAAAAAAAAAAGTTTAGGCTTCATTGCTCATTGGACCGCCTCAAGGCCCATGCCAAGTTTGTGAGTCCGGCGATTTGGGCCTCTCTGGACGATCAACTGGGTTTGGACAATTGGGCTTTTGAGTTTGGCAACATGGTTTCTTCTGGGCCATATGCTTTGTTCGGTTAGTTTATTTTGCTCCCATTAAATCGTGTCATAGAATATCTGTGGCTTAATTGCAAGTTTGGTCACTCGAATTGCTACAAAATTTCACGTTTGCCACTCAAATTAATTTATTTCATTTATAGTCACTTAAATTAGGTTAACAGTCCAAGTTTGGTCACTGGCCGTTAGTCTCCGTTAACTTTTGCTGATGTGGCGGTCAACTCTTATAGTTGACCGTTAAATGAGTGACGTGGCGATTAAAAAATAATAAAATAAAATAATTTAATTATTTTTTATTTTCCACCTAATTATTATAAAAAAAACCTAATTCCTTTTAATTGTTATTTTCCACCGCTGATGAGCTGCGTCGTCTTCGGCTCCTTCGTCGTCTGGTACCTCGCGGCGTTCTCGATCGCCTAAGACTAAGAGAACCCAAAAACCCAGTTAGTTCCAAGACTCTTAGCGGCTCTTTTCGCCATGGAACTCTGTAATTCTCATTTCAGATCTGCACTGATCCATCTTTCCGGCTGCAAAGGGAATCCGCCGTCGGAGTTCCTTTGATCTGAAGCCCTCGGAAAATTTTGCTCGACGAATGGACCAAAGCCGTCGCCAAAAGAAATCCTCCAAAAGCACGACCAGGTCCTCTGCAACCGCCAGGTCCTCCTCGCCATACAAGCCCGCGACCACCACCAGTTTGGCATGCCGTGGCTCCCCGTCGAATCCATGTGGAGGAACCTCAGAAAAGTCTGCAACTCCTACATCTTCACTACCCAGAAGCTGGATTCCAACCAGGAGCTCCGGAGGAGGAAGATTGAAGAGCTCATCGAAGGTGTTCGACAAAATGGGTGTGAGGGGGAAAAAGCGGTGGATATTGGGAGGGAAGCGTTCGCGGCGTTCTCGATCTCCTCGCGGCGTCGTCTGGAACTAACTGGGTTTCTGGCTGAAGTGAATGGAGCTCCCCTCGTTGAGATTGTTGTCAGTGAACTCGAGCAATTCACCAACGGAGACAGTTCTAGGAGCCACATTCATGGAGTCCTCCTCGACTCTGGTGAAAACAATGAGCACAATCTGCGCAAGAACGGACTTAGCGCAGATCTGATTGGTCCCATTGGTGCCGCCGAGGTAGACATTGTAGCAGGTCTTGACAATGGTGACCAAGCCCTCGCCGCGGATGAGGAGGCAAGGGGATCGGACGGCTGCGAGGAGGGCGTGGAGAACGGAGAGCTCGATGACCTCGTCGCCGATTGAGCACGAGCGGCAGACGGCGTCGAGGAGGCGGAGGATGAGGGAAGGGGAAATGGAGGAAGGGTCGGCCTCGCCGCGGATGAGGGAGAGGGAGAAGAGCTTGAATGCGCACTCGAGGGCGGGCTCGGCGACCTTGGCGTAGTTGGAGTCCAAGGCGAGGAGGATGGGCTGGAGAAGGAGCGGGGCGTCGGCGGCGGGGAGGGCGAGGAGCGGCGAGTCAGGGTCGTGATTGGCGATCAAATCATATATATGTAGAGAGGGAGAGGGAGAGTAGTCATAGTGTACAGGTCAGCGCCTTGAAGCAGGAGATCGAGAACGCCGCGAGGTACCAGACGAGGAAGGAGCCGAAGACGACGCAGCTCATCAGCGGTAGAAAATAACAATTAAAAGGAATTAGGTTTTTTATTATTATAATAATTAGGTGGAAAATAAAAAATAATTAAATTAAATTATTTTATTATTTTTTAATCGCCACGTCACTCATTTAACGGTCAACTATAAGAGTTGACCGCCACATCAGCAAAAGTTAACGGAGACTAACGGCCAGTGACCAAACTTGGACTGTTAACCTAATTTAAGTGACTATAAATGGAATAAATTAATTTGAGTGGCAAACGTGAAATTTTGTAGCAATTCGAGTGACCAAACTTGCAATTAACCCGAATATCTGTAGATAAGATCATCTCCATCAATATAATTACAAAAGAAATTGTATTTGTGTTTTTTATTGTCAATTTAAAATTTTCCAATCCACATCACATTTATTTCATTCACTTACATCAATGCAATTAACTTGCAATTGCAAATGTAATTAAATATTATTTTTAAATTATAGAAAATTAAGTAAAAAAGAAAAGAAAATAAGATAAAATAAAAAATTCCCATTTTTTAAGATTTTTTTGACTTGCATATGGAATTGCATTTGCTGCAAGCTTGCAAATATGCAATTGGTAGCAACATCAATACAATTGGTTTTGGAATTGCAAACACCTATGCCATATCATTTTGCAATTGAGAATACAATACCAATGCGGATGGTCTAAGAATTACAATTTTCGGAGAAAATGAAGATTGAGAAAAGTCAGCAGCACAACACAAAGGGATAATGATATGAAAGCATTAAAACCAAGGTTTTCAAGCTAGTATCCACTATCCAGCCCGCCAGAACCAGTCATGTTTGGAATAGATTTTGGTTGGACGGTTATTGAAAAAAGTTAAAATTGGGTCAAATAAGTCAAAATTGATTAAGCGAGTCAAAATTTGATGATCTGACCATTAAAATCTGGCTAAATAAGTCAGAATCGGATTTGAAGATGAAGATTGATAAGTTTGTAATATATAGTTATTTTGAAGAAATAATTTGGTAACATATGATTCTAGAGTAATGAGATTGTTTTAAAATATGTCAAATATATGTTTAATTTATTTGATACTTGAGATTTTCTCTTAAAACCGAATTGAACTAGCCGAACTCAATCCAACCATTAAATTTCAAACCACTTATCAAAACCAACTTGATACTTAATCCAATTTATAAAATATCATTAAAACCCGTCGCAATACACTCAAATTTCAAACCACATATCATACCACCGACTTGATGACTTAATCCAATTTATCAAGCATCATTAAACCAGTCGCATTACACTCGTAAAAAACGCATTAAGAAAGAAAGCTAGGTCGCAGCAAACGACAGTGACCGCCGGGGTGGCTCCATCGCCATTACGCACGGGGTCCTTTGGACAGTGCGGAAGGGTCAAGGGAGGAAGTAAGGAACACGTTGGTATTTTTTTATTATAGTAAACCATCCAACTCAGCAGCCCGTCTCTGTCTCTATCTCGTCCTGCTATTTTCCTTTTCACCGCTCAAACAAACCGAACGCAAACTTCCTCCTTCCCCCGATCCATTTCGATCTCAATCTAACAAACTCAAAATATAAGAAAAGAAGAAGAGGTCCTTCCTCGATTAAGATCTTCATTCCAATCGGATCCATCTTCTACCATTCCGACTCTCTGTCGCGGGCTTTTCTGTTTCTGAATCCATTCGTGTTTTGGTTGGTGCCGGCATTAACGATGACTTCCAGGGACGACGCCGAGGAGGCGAATAACCTGAGGAAGCCATTCCTCCACACGGGGAGCTGGTACAAGATGAGTTCCCGCCAGTCCAGTATGATGGGCTCCTCCACCTACATCCGCGATGGCGCCATCTCCGTCGTCCTCTGCGTCATGATCGTCGCCCTCGGCCCCATCCAATTCGGCTTCACCGTATTCTCTCTCTCCCCCTCCTTTTTCCTTCTCATTCGTTCCCTGCATTCTTATTCGATTCATCAGTTTTTGTTGAGATTTTGAGGTTTTTTTTTTGTTGCCCTGCGACAGTGTGGATTCTCTTCGCCAACTCAATCGGAGATCATCAATGACCTGCAGCTTTCAATTTCAGAGGTCTTTGACAGTTCTTCCTCCCCTTTTCGTGTTTTTATCTAATTGGTCATTGATGTCAATTTTTGAAGAAATGTATGGTGAAAATTGGTTTTTTTTTCTTCTTCTTTACATTGGCGGCAGTTCTCAGTGTTTGGTTCTTTATCCAATGTTGGTGCAATGGTGGGAGCAATTGCTAGCGGTCAGATTGCGGAATATATTGGCCGCAAAGGGGTATTCCTCCATTCTCATTCCTATTTATTTCTGTTTATATATCCGTTTCTAATGGCGGAAGAAGGTATTCCTTTGAACATCGAGAAAATCCTCCACGATTTGGTTGCTTGTATTAGACGGTTTCAGTTATGGAATTGATTGCGTGAAATTTGATGCATATTTTATCTGTGCCGAAATTTGCAGTCCCTGATGATTGCCGCAATTCCTAACGTAATCGGGTGGCTGAGCATATCTTTTGCCAAAGTGAGTGATTACTCATCTTCTTCCACCCTTTTTATTTGTTTTTTTGATTTCGGCTGTGTTAGCATCTCATGGATGGGGTGGTTTTCTTCCTTGACAGGATTCATCCTTCTTGTTAATGGGAAGGTTGTTGGAAGGTTTCGGTGTTGGAATCATTTCCTATACGGTGAGCTTGAAGCTAAAGCTAACTGGTGCCTGATTTTGGGTTGTGTTCTCGAGTGGATCTTATATTGCCCTTTTCCCCCTGTTGTACAGGTGCCTGTGTATATTGCTGAGATAGCTCCTCAGAATATGAGGGGAAGCCTTGGATCTGTAAACCAGGTTGGTACTGTTCCCACATATATACTTTTCTAAATGGTTGTGGAATTAATTTACCAATTCGCTTCATATGACAGCTCTCAGTAACCATTGGAATATTGCTGGCCTATCTCCTGGGACTTTTTGTTCATTGGAGAGTGCTTGCTGTCTTGGGTGAGTCCTCAAAAATTTTAGCAGAAATTATGAGGGTTCCCTTGACTTCTGATATGCATAGTGTCTTTATAGTTGGATTCAATATTGTCAATCATCAGTCAAACAAGATCAACATTTGAGTTTCTGTTTGCAGGAAGTTTGCCTTGTATAATTTTGATACCTGGCTTATTTTTCATACCGGAATCTCCTAGATGGCTGGTATAATTTGAGACATTGTGTTTGTATCAGCATTCCTAGCTTGGTTTTCTCGGTATACCTTTAATCAAATTCTTGTCCTGTTGGTTCCAGGCTAAAAATGGAATGGGAGAAGATTTTGAAACTTCTTTGCAAGTTTTACGAGGTTTTGATACAGACATCACTGTTGAAGTCAATGAAATCAAGGTACTTAAGTCTATTAGTCTCTATTTCTATTTGGTCCCTCTTTATTGTGGTCTCAAATCAGTTTGGGCCGATCCTACTCCCCTAATTTGTGTATTTGGAACCTCTGTTGGAAACGAAGGACCAGAAATAGCCATGTGGCTCAACACCTCAACTAGTTTTGACGATTGAGATGACCAATGTTTTGTGCACATCTATTGCAGAGATCTGTTGCTTCATCAACTAGACGAAATACCATTCGGTTTGCAGATCTCAGACGACGGCGATATTGGTTTCCGTTGATGGTAGACTGGTTTGTTTTGGGGATTCTGTTGGTTCCTGATGATGCTTTTCTTTGAACTTCAAACTCTGGATTGGAGATACTAACCTTTATCTGATTTCTACAGGTAGGAATTGGGTTGCTTGTTCTCCAGCAACTCAGTGGCATTAACGGGATTCTGTTTTATTCCACTAATATCTTCAAAAGTGCTGGTTAGTCTCTACTGGTTTCCTTTTGTTCCTTTCTTCAAAACATTAAGCCTTTGTTTTTAGATGGTTGTTTAATGGGTCAGCAACTTGCTTGTACCCAAATGTTTGATTAAGCCTAATTTTAGTCTGTAGCATTGTTTTGGGGGCTAAGCATGCATGACCTATTTGTGATGCCTCCAGTGAGAGGGTTAGGTGCTTGGATGTTAGTAAGTCATACTAGCTTTCAGGCCTCAGTTACGCAAGTAAGAAGACTAGGCTATGTGGACCAGTAATCTTTTGATGCTGCAAAATAGCTTCTAAATCTGCTGCTTGTATAGTACTGTTGTTTATCTGAAATATGAACCATAGGAAAGATTTCGTGAACTTCCTAGATTTTAGGACATTGGTGGTTCCTAATTTCCTTTTAACTTTGTGGGAAATTTTATTGGAAAAGGAAAGAGAGCTATGATTTGTAGTGTGCCTATACCATTTTAATTAGTATATACCTTCATAACCACCCTCTTTGCTTTGGGGTTTATGAAGGATTTAATTTTGTGCAAACTTGCAGGAGTTTCTTCCAGCAATCTGGCTACAGTTGGAGTTGGCGCAATTCAGGTAAATCTGTCAGGCAGTTATTGGTGTCTATATTCCTTTCCCGGGGATACATCATGTTGTTCAAATCAATGATGGGAGAGGGGGACCAAGCTGCTAATTTCTGTTCAAACCCCTCTTGTGTTGACAGGTTGTTGCTACTGCAATCACCACATGGTTGATGGATAAGGCTGGACGGAGGCTGCTTCTCATTGTGAGTTCCTTTTAGTATTGTGGATTGAGGCTTGAAAAGGAAAATATAAAGTCAATTTCGTATAATCGATATGTTGTCCATTACTCAGATATCCACAGTCGGGATTACTCTCAGCCTACTTCTTGTTTCAGTTGCCTTCTTTGTGGAGGTTGGTGATAGTTCCTTAAACTTTGTCTACTCCATAATGAACTTCTATCCTACCCACTAGATCTCTGAATCTTTGTTTTCTTCTCGAATGTTTCAACAGAGTTCAGTATCTCCAGATTCTAGTTTGTACGGTACAATGGGAATTCTGTCACTCGTGGGCCTCGTGGTATGTTCTCGAGCTTCCTTTTGCCTGTTAATATTGTATATTGGTTGATACTCGGTCCATTTCATATTTAACAAATTACTTGTGTATTAGGCTGTGGTAATCTTCTTCTCTTTCGGGCTTGGAGCAATTCCCTGGATCATAATGTCCGAGGTACGCCAACTTTACCGTGTGTATGCAGTAAAAGAACACATGTTTATTAAGTGCTCACTCAATCTCACTCAGGGAATTTTCATTTTCCCAGATCCTGCCTGTAAATATCAAAGGCCTGGCGGGCAGTGTCGCGACACTTGCAAATTGGTTAGCTTCCTGGATGGTTACTATGACAGCAAACCTACTGTTAGGCTGGAGCACTGGAGGTATATCTCGATCGATCAGTTGGTTTTTCATAATTTTTTCTTCTTCTTACAGCTTGTTTAGTGTTGTAGTGATTTACAAAATAGTTTTCATGTCATGGGAACAGGAACGTTTGCTATATACACAGTGGTGAGCTTATTCACGGTCCTATTCGTCACGCTGTGGGTTCCTGAAACCAAAGGAAGAACCCTGGAAGAGATCCAGTCCTCCTTCCGGTGAAACCAAAAACAAGTTTTACTATTTGTCTGAGAATTATACTATATATTTGTGTTTTATTGAAGTATGGTTAGTCTGGGGTGGTCTGTTCCCTTGTACGTTCTCACATGTATGTATCATATGTGTCTTCTTCCGCCCTTAAATTTTGTGGAACTAGATTTAATCATTTCCCCACTTGTTACATAGCTTAAGAAAGCAAAAACGAAATGTAAAACACGAAGTGAAAAGCATTCATTAATTTGACATTTTTTTATCCAGATTGTTCAGAGAAGTTGAAGGAGGACAGGCAAGTTTCTAAGTAGGAAGAAAGAATCAATCAACAATATGCACTCATTAATATGGGTGCTACATTTGTAATCTGTGATCACTGAGTCATTATTGTCTCGATGCTGTTGTTGTTGTGATCGTCGTTTGTCGTCAGTGATCACTGAGTCGTCTTCGTCTCGCTGCTGCTGCTGCTGTTGTTATCGGCGTCATCCTGATGCAGCGATGCCAGGATCTTGTTGAGACACTTGTTGTAGGCGCAGGGGCGTTCCAGGTGAACCAGATGCCCGGCTTTGCTTATGCTTTCAACTGTTGCCTTCTCTCCCAATTGCCTGCAATTAATTTACAACAAACCCAAGAAGGAAGAGCAACACAGTGCAGAAAAACGTCAGCATCAGGCAGGAGAGTCCATGTTTTGTTAACTAAAGACTAAGAGAAGAAAAGATTTGCATACTCCTTCATGTTGTGGGCAAGCTCTAGCTGGAAGATCTGATCATTCTCTCCCCACAGGAGATGTATCTTCTGCAATATTCGACAGGAGAAACACACACGCAAGCACGTTAACACACGAGTCGTCAAACATACATTGTTGCACGAGATTGAACATCAAAACCTACCTGTCGGAAGTTGGGAATAGTTGTGTCTTTGTTGCTGATGACCAGCCCTTCCAGGAGTTCGCCTCTTTCCTTCCTGTTACCGAACATCACCTGCAAATTTTGTAGCAGAATAATTAGACACTAAAACACCGACCCACGAATCCAGCACAGTATGAGTTTACCCAGTCAGCCAGAGCAGTTGGGCTTTTAGGTGGGTGACGAACGAAGCAGGACGGTCGTGTGTATCAATGTAGCTGGCCAACCCAACTAACTTTTCCTGACCGTTTCTTGTACTAGAGAATCATGAATAAGAGGTGCTTGTCTTGTCTGTGATGGACTGATGGGAACACTTTAACATGTTTTTGCCTTATTTGGCAGCTTACTCACTCAAACAAGAAACCTCTATGCTCTGCCTCTGAATAACAATCCATAAATACTCAAAAGACAAGAAGTAGTAGGTGAGCTACTACTGTTTGCACAAAATGGAAACTTGTCTTGCAGTACACAAGATTTCCACAAATACGGCTTCAGCCTCCAGCTGCTACTGACTAACTAGTAACTATATATGGTTAGTGGCTCGATTGTGAATCTGCTGCTCTGTAAGTTTCCTTTTTTTGACAGTGAGTTACCTTCCATGGAATGCCAGAATCATGCAATAAGACAAGACTAGCTAGGTTTTTATGGTTGGGGGAAAAAAAAAGATCATTTTCACACTAATCTTTTAGAATCGTGGCTTAAGGATCATCATCCATCCATTCCCTTGGCGGTCAAGTTTGAGCAATAACTGCAACCTCTACCTAAACCTCTTACTTCTGGTACTCTATAATTTGCTTTCATTATCCCCAAAAACATGCATTGAATTCCATCTGACAACTGACAAGTTCCCATAAGAACTTCCATTCACGCCTCAAAATCATCTATGTATTATGCAACGCTGTCAACCCGCGGGTCCACCCGGTTTGACCTAAATCTGGTGAGAAAAATTGGCGACACACACTCGTTGGTCAATCCACAACAACGTTCCTGGATTGGAGGTCACACGTCGTTGTTTTTCGGTTTGTGAAATAAGTTTCCTTTTCGATTATCTTCTTCGCATAGACCTATGTTTAGAATTCCGAATTAAACATTAAAATATTGATGATGTTACATGAGCGTGTTTGAATTTATCACTATATGTTGGATCCAAGTACACAAATTTTCTTTTGGTGTAATATTGTATATTAATATCCATATATTTTATATGAGATTTGGTATAATTAAAAATGTATATGAACAATATATATAATAATTTTTTTCATATGTTTTAGTTAAATAAATCATACTAAAATGATCAAACTATAAACTCTCAACCCATTTACTCGACCAGACCGACGGGCTAAACCGAATTGACAAACTTGTTAACATGAACCACAACAAGAAATGTATTTTAATGATTAATGAGTGGCAAGTAAATGACCCACGAACCTCGAGGAAGTCCTTGTGAAGGCGATCGGGGAACCAGAGCTTCTTGTGAGCAGCAACCGATAAGAGGGCCTTCAAGCCCTTAACCGAAGTGGGCAGCAGCAGCTCGGACGACGACTTGAACCCGATCCGGCCCAGAGTCTCGACGCTGATCGAGTCGGTCATGGCCAGGATCGAACCGGAAACCACCATGGCCCGAACCATCTCGGGGTAGAGCTCCGCCATCTTGAACGCCACCATGCCGCCGTAGCTGAACCCGACCACCGTGCACCTCTCCACCCCGAGCTTCCTCAGCCCCTTCACCAGCGTCTCCGCCTGGAACCTCGGCGACCGGTCGGCGCTGTCGGAGACGGAGCCGCCGAAGAAGAGGAGGTCGGGGACGTAGACGGAGTAGTTCTTGGTTAGGGCTCCAACCTGGAACTGCCACGTCACTATCCCCTCGCCGGCGAAGCCGTGGACCAGCACCACCACGGGCTTCGTCGGCTTTTTTAGGGTTACTTCGGCCTTTTCTGGTTCCGGCTGTTGTTTTGTGGGTTTGGGGATGGTTTCGACGGGAACCCAGAAGTTCATCACGGTGCCGGGCTCTATCTCCACGGTGTGGGTTTTGACGCCGGCCATTTTCATCAGGAGGTTCAGCAGCGGCTTCTGCGCTGCTACCAAGTTCACCATTTTTTTCTTTTCTTTCTATATATGTATATATTTTGAGATCGATTTTTTTTCTTCTTCTTTTCTCTCTTTGTTTTTGGGTGGGATGGGAATGGAAAGATGGAGGGAATGATTTGGGGTTTATTTATAGTGGGATAAAGAAGGTTTGGTGCATGGTGGTTATCTGCTGCATGCTATTGAATTGAATGTGGGGTTTTTGGGAATTAGGAATGGGATTATTGTATATTTGTATAGTGTATTATTGTCTGACAAACAGGCAATTGCATGATGAGCAGACTTGGGGGCTGCCATTTTGCTTATTATTGGTGGTGGCAAATTTATTATTACCAGAGTTGTTTATTTTTCCTTTGAAAAAAAAAAAAAGAAGGAAACATTTCTCTAGCTGGATCCTTTAATTTTGATCTTCACCAAATTTAGAGAGATATGCAGCCAGCATACATATATGGAAATGAATGTCTTGTACATATATGGCTATACATGTATGCTGCTCACACATGCATCTGAATGCCGATTCTGGAGTACACTCACTGATCTTAATTTGATTATATAATGTGTGTACGTATGAGTAATTTTATATGGTAGGGTGTGTTTTTTTATATATGACAAAGGATAGTGTACGTTTGACGTATATTATATGGCTGTACTCATAGTTATTATATGTAATTGGGTTAATACCATAATTTGGCCCGAAGTTTAGCGTTATTGACAGTTCTAGCCCGACTTTTCCAATAAGACATTTGTGACCTACTTTTCAAACTATTGGACAAATTTGGCCTATGAGACTATTTGACCGTCACAATTGACGGTCAACCATTTTCCCCGTTAATGACTCATCATTAGCTGCTGACTAGACTAGTCCATATGATTTAAAAATTGAAAAATTAAAAATAAAAAGGGGAGTCTCTGCCCAGTCCCCTTCTTTCCTCTTCCCTCTGGCTTCTCTATATCATCTTCCAATTCCATATCTGATTCTCAAAATTCAATTTAAAAAAGTTGTTCTCATCAATCAATACACAAAACCTATTACCCAAACGTCGACCCACTGCAGCATCACCAAAAATTAACCCCGCCCTTGTCTTCAATCTCTTCACGATCCCTAATCTTCTTCTGTTGTGGCCAAAGAAGCAGCCAGAGGTAAGTCGGCCCGAATCTGACGACGACCACCGCCACTCCCACTCCTCTTCCTCCCGACCCTTCTTCCACCCGGAACTCATTGCCGTCTTAAACCGCCAACCCATTTCTTATCGCCGACCACGAATCCAGGTGTGGTTGAAGTGCGGATTTAGCGTTTCCTCTAGAACGGTGTGAGGGAGAAGACGAACAGCCAACAGTTCGTTCGGCTGAGGGAGAGGACAAACAAAACCTGAATCGGGCCCGAATCTGTCGATCTTGACGACGACGGAGTGGAATCTGAGGGGACAGCTTCCTCTTCTCTTCGTCTAGTCTGGGGAGGTACAGGCGGGTCTCGGCGGAAGAAGGGGTTGAATCAGTTGGAAGGAGGCGGCGGGAGGAAGAGATGAGGGTAGGGTCGTAGGAGGTTGGGGGTTTTTGGGGTTATTTTTATTTTTTTATTAATTGAATTAGAAAATATTTTATTTAATGACATGGCACCATGTATAAGCCACGTCAGTAGTTCTTTGATGAGTCACTAACGGAATAAGTGTTTGACCGTTAATATTAACGGTCAACACAAGTTTCGGGCCAAATTTGTCCAATAATTTCAAAAGTAGGTCGTAAATGTCTAATTTGAAAAATGGGGCCAGAACTGTCACTCACGCTAAACTTCAGGCCAAACTAGGGTATTAACCCTATGTAATTTGATATACTTTGATGAATTATAACGGTCGGTTGTTATTTTTAAATTAAATGATATTTATGGTTTGGATTAAAATATTAGGGGCTGAAGTTAATTCATCAGAATATAATATCATACAATACCTCTTATTAAATCATGATTAAATATAAATAGCAATATATATGAATTTTTTTTTATCGAGGAACCTCAGCTCCACGTGCCACTTTGTGACAGCGGATCCTACTAAAACTGGGGGGTCACCTGCAATCAAATTCGACGCCAAGGGGGCTTCGCCCCCATAAGCCTTGTACTTCCAGGAACACAAACAAGCCTTGCTTGGATTCAAATCTGGGATATGCAACTTACAAGCTTTCATTGTCGCGACAGCTTTATCGTTATGTTATCTTAGGTGCAATATCTATGATTAAGATTACCGTAAACTTGGCATTCTCATGATAATAACTGTAATGAAATTTGTCACAAGAGACAAGACCATAAAACTTGGATTAATCACTTTCATATCAATACTAATAAATATTCAATACTAATAAAATATGCCTCAAAATATTTTTATCGGATTTATTGAATAATTTTAATAAGCCTTTTCGACCAACCATACAACCAAAGTAGATAACCTCCTGCTGCCTGTAACGAATTCCATTTCTTTATGATAACTACTAATTAATATTTGATTTCCTCTCTATGTTTAAAAATTGCCACCATACTTTCTTGCACGAAATCTTTCTGTAATTAATTTAAGGCCACAAACTTGCGGGCTTTCTCATACTTGACCTATATCTTTTGTATTTTCTTCGTTGTTCATTGATGAATTGCTTATCTTGGTGACCCCTATTCCGAATACAACGTTGTTTAATTGTTGGGAGATTTGATCAACTGCCACCACCTACCTACCTTCCAACTCGTATCCATCTGATCATCTCAGCTGGTTGACATTTCAATTTCTAATTGGTGTGGCATTTCCATTTCCATTTCCATATCATTATTGATATTTATTATTGTAATCACCCTTAACTGTGTTCAAATTGATTCTCCCTTGTCAATTTCTTCTCACTATAATTTACTTTCTCAAGCATCTTACTATTAGAATTATTAAACCACTAGCGGTCAAAAAGTTTCAAAAACCAAAATTTACTTACGAAAAAATCGCGTCTCATTGTTCACAAAGAGGGCTGGGTGAAATAAAAGATTGGGAGTCGATTAATTTTGCTTTGACCTCTCTCTTCTTTCTCTATCCTTCTGGCCTAGGTGGTGGAACTCATTCAGTGGCATGGCCGCGCCAGAGCCGGCGAACTGGGCTTAATTATTTGGTGTGGGGGAGGGGAACCGACTTCGCTACGTTGCTCCATATCTGGTAGATGGTGAATTAGTCATCCCTGGGGCGGTTCGTGATAAGGGAGCGGTTCGATGGCGGAATGCTCTTGTTGGCTAGTTTCTCTCTGAAGCACCTTCGATTGCTACAATTAGTCGATGGGCTCAAAGATTATGGGGAAGAGATGGTAGGGTTTATGTCTCAGTATTTGGTATGAATATGTTTTTATTCCAATTTGATAGTATGGAAACGAGTAACTAGGTGTTTGAAAGCGGGCCTTAGAATTGCGAAAACATACCACTATTCCTTCGTAAATGGGTTCCTGGTATTCAGTTGATCAAGGTGGATGGTACTAAGTTACCGATCTGGGTTTGTATCAGGGAGTTGCCGTTGGAGTATGTGACAATGGAGAGTTTGAGTAGGGTGGCTAGCTTGCTGGGTTCACCATTATGGATGGATCAAGCGACTATGTTGGGTGGTGAAATGAGTACTGTTATGCTGTGTATTGAGATGTCGGCTGATTCCTTTTCCCATCAGAACTTCGAATTCGGCCTGAGGGAGAGGAGCAAATTAATATGTTTGTTCACTACCTCCATGCTCCAGTTCACTGTGAGCAGTGCGCAGAGTTTGTACATCAGATAGGGAAAGGAGCTAAGTGTGGAAAGTCTACAGGTGCTGGTGTGGAGAATTCTCAGGCTGCCCCACATAGTGTGGTTGTGGAGATTCCTCAGGCTGCTTCAGGGGAAGTAAATGGTGAGAAGGTTACTAATACAAGTGCAACTGTCTCAGCCCAAGTTTTATCTAGAGGTGTAGCTAGCCATGTTGCCACTCCACAGGGAAGTACTGTTGTAGGGCGTCTTGTTGTAGATGCATATATTGCTAGTTCTTCTACTCCACTAGTTAAGAGTGGCCCTTCTCTAGATGCTGATGGCTTCCAGCTGGTGGTTAAGAAAGGAAAAGCTCCAGTACAATCAGGGTGTGTTGATCAAGGAAGTGGGGTGAGAATTCAGGAGTCAGTTGTTTAAACTAGATTACCACTGAAGTCAAAGGGTTTTAACTTAGTTTTTCCTGCCTCTCCAAAAAAGCGAGGAGGTTAGAAGAGGCGGTAAATGAAGTTGCTATGTTGGAATCTCAGGGGATTTAACTCTCCTAAGAAACATAGGTACGTGAATAAACAAGTTATAAGTTAGGTCTAGATTTCTTTGCAATACTAGAAACTAGAGTGTTAGAAAATAGTGTTGATGATATAGTAAGTAGACAGTTTAATGGTTGGACTCATTTGAATGACTATAAGTATTACAATGGGAGAGTTTGGCTGTTTTGGAAACCATCATTGCAAGTGGCGGAGAATGGTATGGGGAAGCATTTCATTCATGTTCGAGTTCAATCGAGTACAATCTTGTGTGGTCACTACAATTTATGGTCCTGATAAGACAGTTGAGAAGGAATCAAGTGATTAATAAGCCTGGGGTCTTTATTGGTGATTTTAATGATGTTACTGACATCCCAGAAGCTTCTAATAGGCCTGATTGAAATCAGAGTATGGGAGATTTTAGGCAATCGATACTTGAGATGAATCTGACTGATCATAAAACTATAGGCTCTTCGTTCCCCTGGTGGAACAAGCAGTCTAATAAACCGATTGCTCGAAGGATTGATAGTGCCTTGGTGAATGATTTATGGCTGGAGAAGTTTAAGGATGGCTTGATTCAAACTTTGTCCCCTAGAGTATCTGATCATTGTGCTTTGTTTGTGCACACTAATCCTTTAGTAACCTAATTGCCGAAGCCTTTTAAATTCTTTACATTCTTGAGGCAGCATCCTCAAGATCATAGTATGTTGGAGGAAGCTTAGCAAACTGAAGTGGATGGAGTTCCTTATTTTAAATTGTATCATAAGTTGAGAAGTATGAAACTAAAGTTGAAGGGCTTAAACGAAATAAAATTTTATGAGA